TGAAAACAAGCTTTGACCTACTTTGCAAAAGGCAGCTCATCTAGGAGAGTTCTAGTTACTATCGTAACTTGCTCAGTCTCCAGAATAGCATTGTAGTCGGAACTCAGATTGGTCAACACTTTCCCAACATGGCACAGTAGCACTAGAAGTTAAAGTAAGGGCCAAAATATACAACAATAGGAGATGAGACTGACTTCTGTTTACAAACTACATATTCCAGTTACTGAAAAAAAGGTTACTCACCTTTTGTAATTGTTGTTGAGATGTGGTGTTCATGTCCACTCCAAACATGAGGATACAGACTATCCAAACCCTCATTCCTATCTCACTTACTGGCAGCTCTGTCCTGCACACTTAACCCCTCATTTTTGGCTCCACCCAAGAGCCTAGGGGTGCCATAAAATCCACTAATCCTGGAACCTCAGAAGAGTTAATCTGGCCTGAGGCCTTGAGCCTCAGTGCTCCCTGCCCTCCCCCCTCCCCCACCATAGGGGTGGAGCACCATGGAGAGTGAGGTTTTTCCTCACTTGTGCATTCCCCAAATAATTTTTCTGTGGGTTACGGGCCCCTGACCAAAGAAGATTCCCCACCCCTGCTGTAAATAACGACAATGTTGAAGCCCTTTGTGTTGAACATAATATTTCACTTTATTTAAAATAAAGTCTGGCCAACAAAGCCCCAGCTGTGGTCCAGCGTCCAAATGGCCATAGGGTCCTGTCCCCAGCCCTGATCCTGGGGCAGGCCTCAAGGTCTGGCCCCTACCTGGCCACAGGAAGGGCAGGTGGCAGCTTCCCTCCTCCTGCAGCATGGGTAGGAGGAGAGGCCACGATCCAGCAGTGGTAATCCTGGCCTGGCCACTTGTCCAACCTCTGCTGCCCAGATAGAGATGTAAGCGACTAATCAACTACCTGTTAAGCCTAGGCTTATCAGGTAGCCAAGTCACTACTTGACTAGTCGCTTCCCCACCCGCCTTGCTGCCTCCATCAGAGGCACCAAGGGGGACAGCAGGAACTGGTACTGGGGGAAGGGAGGCAGAGGCGCAGTGGAGGAAACAGTGTGAGCAGGAACTGAAGCAGTCCCCGCTCACCCGGGGTCCTGACATTGTGCCTCACCCTTTGAAAGGTACAAGAGCAGCAGTCAGCTCATTGAAAATTTCAGTGGCAGAGGTACAGTGGGATGGCAAGAGCTCCCCTTATCGACTAATTGAGTAGTCGATGGAAATTCCATTGATTACTCAATCAGCTGATTAATCAAAATTTAACATCCCTATGCGTAGGTGCAGCAGCCCAGGTAAGGTAACCCGGATCAAAGCCCTTCCCCACCCTGCCACATACTCTATTTCTCATCCCCAGTGCCCTGCCCTGCCTCCTGCAGCTCCCACACACCGCAAGCTCCTGCCCAGAGCCCCATATACCCACAACCCTGACTCCTGCACCCTCAAATCTGCAAACTGCACCCCTAGCAACAGCAGAAGTCCCATAAATAAAGTCTGAGCACAATATTTCATTTATGCTATTATTAATAAGTCAATTATCAATAATATTAAGTTGTATATTTTCAGTCATGCAATGGTCATGGTTATATGGATCTTTGTCGGCCATCTGTTCTGAATTTTGATGAAGTTTGGCTCTTTAGTTTGATAAGGTTACTGACATCCCATATATAAACAAGAGAAGCACTACTCAGCTTATGAAGCAAGGTGTGTAAGGGAGAGCTCTAGCCACCATCACTTGTAATAAGAAGGAACTGAGAAAAGGAGAACACAGAGGATGACACTACAGTGAGCTGTTGGGAGAAAATTTCCCATCTACTGTGCACATGACATGCGCACACACCTGATTAGAATGAATATGATCAAGCAATCAAAGAAAAATATATAGTTTATAATTAGAAACTACATTCTAGCAGTTTCTAGAAAAGGTTTCCATTTCATTTCAGATATTTTTACACAGTCATTTCTCTTAGCATGCTTTAAATAGAAAATATAATGGCATAGGTAGTGAGGTCTATAGTTAAGGTCGCTCACTATATGTCAGTATGAGCCCTGTTTCTAGTTGTTTATTAGATAAGCAGAGGCAGCATGGGGCATGGAAAACTTAAGTCTGAATACTCAAAGGTTAAGATTTTTGGAGACTGTTAGCCATTTTTGAGAATGAAGTTAAGGAAATTTTGCCCACATTAATACATTTCTGAAAGTGTTTTGTTGTCAAACTCTAGCACTCTTGGTTTTAAGCAAAATCTTGAATTTGATATGGGAGGTTGCTTTTGTATCAAGGAAGTGTCTTTTGCTATTCTGAGAAAAATCACCCAGATGTGACCAAGGTATAAGCCTTTGAAAATTTCATTTCCACATGCTCAAGAAATACCTATTAGTTCAGGTGCTAAATACTATGTGTACTAATCATTCTCCGTCCTTTGAGATCTTCTGTGTGCTGACAAGGTCATCATTCTCACAAAACCTGAGCACACTCCATCTCAGGACTGCAGGAACCGAGACCATGAAGTCTGTTTCTGCTGTGTTTCCAGCAGTCCCCCTGCAGGGACTAAGGCAGCACAGAGGATGATGGAACAGTCCATCTTGAAGGCAGGGGTGAGGAATAGATGAGATGACAGGAAAGAGATGCAGGACAGAGGGAGAAGGAATAGGAGTAAAAAAAGGAACAGAAGACAAAGGGGGGGGAGGTGAAACAAGAACAAGGATGGGGAATAGGTACAGAAACAGAGAAAGGGGGAAGATATGAAGAGAAAAAGGGCAGGGTTAGGGCCAGAAAAGTCTAACCACTAGAAAGCACTGCCCTACAAGACCTGGAATTCAACCCTACAATCATGTGCCAGCATTCCTTTGCTGAGTAGTGAGTTCCTTTGGAACTCACTAGCAAGGGTATGTCTCAATCTCCTTGAACTACCAGTCCACACAGAAGATAACAGACAAGACAGTAGCAATAGAAATCAGTTATTTCAAATGGCAGTGGACCATGCCATGGATCTAAGCTTTCAAGACCAAGTGAGATGACAAACTGGGGGGTGGGTGGGATAAATGATTCCTCATAATTATTTTATTATACCATTACCATTTAATTTTTTAAAACTCAGAAAAACACATTAAAAAAAATCTAAGGTTGCAAAATCAAGCACTTGAAATTTGTAAGTGTCAGAATAAGTGCTTGTGCAGCCTTAATTTGACCCCTCTGTGCATATACTCTATAATACTGTCCAGCTATATGAACACACACTATTTTCTCCTCACAACTGCTATACCAGTGTACAGGATGGAACGCACTCAGTGAGTAGTTGTTCTTTCAATATTTCTTATTCTCAACATGTAATGTATAACCCCCAAACTCACTGAATATATAATTATTAATTTCCTTTTAGACTTTCTTGTTATGGCACCTCTACAGTATCTTAACACTTTATAGACATTAACGGACGTATCTTCATTGCACCCTTGTGAGAGGAGATATATTATTCCAATTTGTCACATGGGAAATTGAAGCACTGAGATTAAAGACAAAATTGTCAAGTGTATCCGCTAACATTGCATGCCCAATCTGAGAAGCCTTGGGCCTGACTGTCATGAATACTTAGCATTAGATGGCTCTTCATCTATTCAGAGCACAGCTACCATTGTCCTCAGCTGCAAGCACACAGCACTTCTGCAAAATCGCACCGCAGGTGTCATAAGCTTGTTACCAAGAAAAGGAGGAACAGTGGCCACATGTAAAATTTTTGGTTTAAATTACTTGCCCAGCACCACAGAGGAATCCTGTGGCCCAGGCAGGGTCAGAATCCAGTTCTATAGGGGGACATTCCATTGGATCTATCTAACACACTAGCATTACCTAGTGTTGCTCAGGTCCTTAAGGAGGGCTCTGGGCAAGGAGCTAGAGGTGTGTGGGATGCAGAAGTCAGGGTTGGCAGGTGAAGAGGGTCTCTGGGCAGCAGTCTGTATGTGTGTGGGTCTCAGAGGGTGGGCAGGAATGGTAGGAACCCTCACTCCTGAGAGTCATACCAGGGCTTGCTCTTCCCCCTTCTGCCCCTGTCAGGGAGCGAGAGCACAGTGCACAGCTCATCTGTCCTCTGCGCTCCCCAGCCAGAGCGAAGAATGAAGGAAACTGTGAACTTTCCCCTTGCTCCCTGATAAGGGAAAAGCCAGCAATGTTCCCATACGAATTGGAGGAGGAGGAGACACTTCAGTGACCCCTCTCCCCGCCCTCCTTAAAGGACACTGGGGGTGGGTGGCTCATGGCTGGGGCAGTCCTGGAGTGGGGGATCTGCCCTAGCCAGCCCTTTCACCTGGCTGGTGATTTTGTCTCTTCTCTGTAGGGTTTCATGAGAGGCGATCCTACTCCAGGCACATCCCATTTTCCTGGCACAACCAAACCCATACATTGCTTTGTGTTATGACAAGAGTAAGCTGTATACCGAATGATCCTAGCTCTTGCCATTTAGGAGTTCTTGCATAAACAGACAAACCATCTCAAATATATAGTAGATTATTCCACCAACCTTCTCTCTAACCGTCTTTTTCCTCACTTTACATCTCCCAACTTATTAACCAATGAGGCAGGGATCATATAGATAGCAGCACACTTCGTAACACAGCCCTATTTTATCCCCAGAACAGGTCCCTCCTGTGCAACAAATGAAACATGCATCCTGTTGAAAAAAATATGTGGTCATGTCATTCAAGACTGTTTTATAATGCAATACAGACAAGGAGGGTCAAACTAAAATTGCACAGGCAACCTGCATTCTGGCATTTCCTAACTTTGAAGTGCCTGGCTTAATATACTTTTAATTGTTTAAATATTATCTTTTGTCAGTATTCAATATGTAAAAGGGACAACAGATCATTCTTGAGCAGCAAACCATTTTCACTAGATTGTTTCTGACTGCTTGAGGCAAATATCTGAACCCCACCAATAATATCTAGTGTTAGCCTCCAGTTTTAGACTATTATACATTTTTATGAGCAATGAAAACCACATATGCATTTATGTTTTACCCTTCTCACAGTTTATTTGCATGTAATTTTACAGTTTCTACTTCACATCACACATTTATTGCTTCTCTTGCACAAAAGTTTGACAAGGGCAATTGCTTTGCATTGCATTTTGGAACGCTGGAACTTGCGCCAGTAAAATCTACAGAATATATTAGTAGATCAATTTAATGTAAATATAGCAGATAATTACATTGCTATTTACTTCACTACAAAGTTTACAACTTTGGAAACAATAATTGGTTCCAGTTATTACAACACTTCAGTGTACTTTTTTAAGCAGACAGGATGCTTTTATAGCTCATTAATACACACTGAATTAAATGGTGGTGTGTGGGGGGGAAGATGTGACATTACATTGCATTGTGGTATACAGTATTTGTCTTTTGTATATCTGTGGCACAGAAAAGAGTTGAGATGTTCATGAACTCCTTTTAACGCATGAAGTCTATCAAAATAATTTTATTTCCCATCAGTTATATTACGCTGTCCCACTTATTGTTTTGTTTTTGAAATGCTTCCACTTAAAAGTTCTAATAAGTATAATGAAAAGTGTGCAACATTTTTGTCAGTGTGGGCCATAAATGTTCGGCCATTTAGAAGACGAAGCTTACACAGAGGATGACTGACACACAGAACTATGAATGAATATAAACTGTTGTGGACATTTTCTCTGTTGAATATTTCAAAAGAATTCACTTCAACTATTTTAGGCAGCAATTCAAACTATTAAATAGCATGATCAAAAAGGCTTAGTTTGAATAATATAACTATATTTCTAATATCGTTTCTTCCAGGGCAAGCAAAATATTTTTTTTAATTACAAAAATGCAAGATTAACATTCCAAGTGCTTCAAGTTAAATGGCAGCTTTAGGAAGCAGTGAAACCAATGAGTATAGGGTCTTCTGATTTCTGAACAGATATGTAAAGGTTCTTTTAAAAACAGTTTCAGTTACTGTACCATTTCAGTAAACATAATAGTACTTAGCTCTGACAGAGTACTTCTCACCACAAAATGGTTTGCACAGGTAGGTGTGTATCATGAACTCCATTTTTCAGATGTAGAACCTCAGGAACACGGATGAAATGACTTGTCCAAGGTCACACAATAGGTAAATGATGGAGAGCCATGACTGGAATCCAACTGATTCATGTCCCAGCTGATCCACTAGCTTAAGACTTTACTATGTAATTTTCATTAAACAAAAGAGGCAGAGGACAATATTCTTATAGGACATTTTCCTCAGTGATTTGACTGGAAAAGCTGCAAACTCTAACTATACTTTGGAAATTGCTGCAAAGTGGGATCCCACAGACACAAGGGTTCCTTTTGTCAGATTATTTATGTTTTATTTCAACATGATCCTTCTCTTTCTCCTAACAGGAGACAATGATCTGTAATGAATATTTGAATTCAATACCAAAATGATAAAAGAGATTCAAAGAAATTGCTGAAATCAGAGCAACACTACTTTTGGTATAACATTGTTCCTGATAAGACACTGGAAATGACAACTTAATTGAGAATGCTAGCTGCTTTGAAATGTTTTAAAATGTAATGCTGTAACATCAGAAATGCAAAGATGCATTTTTCTTTCTACCTCTTTCATATATTGTCTCCTTGAATTACATTTTAACAACTTGAGAGCACTGTAATTATATGTAAATATTAATCCTACATTTCAATGACCAAATATTACTATGTTTAGTTTCAGAAGCATCCATGTGAACTCTGTGATGCTGAGTGCCTGATATGGTATTTCTTCTCCACATTTTGCTTCTGAAGTGATGGTTATGAAGATCTTCAGTTTGGTATATCCATATTTTGAAGCACAATAGCCACTCTGCTTGGAATGTACACCTAATAAAACAATAAAAAGAACAGAACTTCAATCACACTTGACAATTTTTTTCATTGGGGCAGTATAAATCTCTACAGAAACACACATTTGATAGTGAAACGTTTTAGGTAATTAAAGCAAACATTTTAAAAATATGCAATCAATATGATCACATGTAATGTGTAATTATTGATTGCACACTCTCCTGTGTCACAATCATACAATGCAGTCTTAATGAGACCCTCATTGTAGGGTTTTCCCCCTTACTTAAGATCAGTCATATTTTTATGAAATTACCACTAGAGGGCTCCATTTGATTTACAATGCCCAATTTAAGAAACATAAGGACATCTAGGTCGATAGACTGCACAGTGATAAATTACAAACTCTTAGCACAGCATTTGAACAGTATTGTGTTGTGAATTAAAGCTGCTCCAAGGTCTATGATGTCATTTCACCCAGGTAAATACAAGAAATATAACACGGCAATGCATTTTTACCATTCTGACACTCATGCAATGTCAGTATCTGATAGAACAAAATGTTGAACACTGACATTGATTTCAACTGACCAGTGATAAATTCTGATTTTCTAGTCAAATGATGCTTTTACTTAACCTTTAGAGATGATGATAAACAAATTCACTTATTTGAAAAGATTTCTCAAAGCTGAGAAATAAATATATTGGCACAATTTCTATGACATGCCTTCTAAGCACAGATTAGATTCACAATGGGGAAAAAAATCCATGTCTTGACAGGTACTGTTTACAAATATTTTGCTATGTGGCACTCTACCCATTGACAAATACAGCTGATCATACATGCTGAACTAATTAAAAATGCAATTATAAAAAGTAACACAAGATTGAAGGTTATTGACTTCAGTTTGACAATGTCCTTGTTTAGGCCATCTTTCCTTCTCTTGACATTCTTAAAAATTTGCTATTTTCAGCCAAGTTATCTCTAAGTTAGAGCCTGATTAGTAGTATTGAAAGGCTTTCATAGTTTGCAACTGTTACGGAAGGTGTAAATAAAACAGATTTAGGGGAAAAAAAGAGAGAAAAAAAGAAAAGAACAGCTGAACTTCAAGAAACCAAACCATAACAAGTACAATGTATCTTGGCTGTCATCAAAAACACAGTGATATCCCCTAAGGTTTCAGTGATAAATAATTCCCCACAAATCTGTTCAGGGCTAGCCGAAATACCCAATAAAGTTGGTTAGAGACAACTAACTCACAGAATAAGGTTTGGAAGTTGTGGATTTACAGAGAAATTCATGATGCAAATTTAAATTAGAGAGTATTTCCAATTTCTTTTCTGGTAAAAAAAAAAAAAAAAAAAAATTATTCCACAGATGTGGAAAGTTACCACAGTTACAAAAAAGAAAAAAATAAGTTTGACAAAGGGTATAATAATGATTATTCAGATTGGTATCAAAGTTAAGATCAAGTCTTTACAAATATGGACCACATGTTCATCTGAAGTAAACTGGCATAGCTCAATTGACACCAATGGAATTGTCAATTATTTCTAGTTGAGGAACTGTGACACCACTGCATTTGCTTGCAAACCAGAATTTTAAATGTGTTTTCAAAGGCAGTTTTTGTGTTTGGGAAATGTGTCATTTAGAGAGCTTAGGACCAACTTTTCCATTTAGCAGTGCAGCTCAATGAGCCCTACTATACTGTACCTCTCTCTGCTCTGCCTATAAGCCTCACTCCTAAATTAGAGGAATATTTCCAGTTTCCATCTCCATGCTTTTTCAAAATTCAGCTTCTTTGCTTAAACACAGCAGTGACACATATGTGGGCATCTATTCACTGAAAACTACAATCACACCAATGGATTTCACACAGGTTTTCCAGCACTCCTCAAGTGTTTAATAAAATGTTAAACCGCAGTAAATCAGCTGAGACCAACTACAACAAACATGAATATAGATCAAAATTCACTCTAGAGCTACAGTAGAAGTTATTCAGAAGACTTTTTTCGAAGCTGGAATACATAGGTAATACAAGCAACTCATTTTATGAGAATTATAAGGGAAATTATGTTATTGCAGAGACTATTGTGTAGCAACTGCTGGCACATGCTGACTTTTTAATGGCCATCACATTATACACACTATAACCAAGCACAAAGACATGACTGACCTCCTGAAGCTGTATGCTTAAAATTCAGTGGGATTGCTCTTATAGCAATCAATTTCCAAGTGAAATATTCATCAGCCTGAAAAAAGCTCAATGTGTCCAGCCAGGTGGAAGTCATAATGTTTCACTAATATAGATGCACAGAAATCCAACAATACAATTACAGCTATTTGAGGGCTACAAAACCCTCATAGTATCAAATGCCTTCCAATAAAATGTCTTACAATAAACGCCTTACAATAAAAGCCAACAAGAGAAGAGCCAATTAGCAGAAGACAATAAAAGAAATAGTTTCTAATGTGGGTTTACAGCCAATGAACCTGAGTTATCTAATGTCAATAGGCTTTTGGCATAGAGATCACTGCCCAAGTTACCCTTTCACATCACTAACTGGCTCCTGGGGCAAGTTTGTGCAACCACTGGAATGTTCTAAATAATTTTTCCTAGAATGACTCTAGTAATCATTTTGATTACTGAGGATTTAATATATTTCAACTCACCCTTTCTAGACTTTACTACATAATTCTATGCAACAGCAGAGAACTGGACAGCGTAAGGCTAGTGTATGCCAACGGAGGGTTCCCCCATGCCAGAAAAATTTTCATCTGTCCACTTAGAGCATCTTAATAGGGACATAGCACAACTCTGGTGATATAAAATATCTGCTATAGCCAAGGTTCCCTATAAGCTACGTGTGGGCATGAAACCAGAGGTTCAGAGCTCCCCACGCAGGCAGGGAGCTCAGCTGATTGGCTGGCGAAGGGAGGACAGGGCACTCGCCCTCTTGGAAGACAATAAGCAGCATCAGCATCTGTTGATACCTGCTATAAATGAAGAAGCTGGCTCCAGCCTTTATTCCAGGGCTGGGCAAAAGATGAGCTGCGGGCTGTCCCACCTCCACTTGACACTGAGGAAAGCCAGGTGCAGGGCCATGTGTGTATTTGTGACTGCTGAGAGCCTTGCAGGAGGGGAGACAGGCTACTCATGCTGCCCTGCCCTCCAGTAATGCCTGTTGGCCCGTTTCCACCAATAGCATGTGAAGTGTCCTTCCTCCTTCATCCCCCAGGCACTCAACATTCAATTTAGAGCAATACACATGGCTCCTGGCAAATCCCCCTGAACACGTACAGGGACTGGAAGGCAGGGACCCTAACTTAAGAACCTGCTGGGATGCTGGCTTAGAGCTAGATATGGTCTACCAGCCAGAGCCTCTCTCTGGCATTCCAGCCTCTCTCTCCCTCCCCCAACCCTCTGTACCCCATGTAAACCAAACCTTCTGTACTCCTGCTCCAGTCCCCATACACCTTCCTAGACACTGCATACCCTCCTGCACCCCTCCTTAGGTCACAGCCCTCTTCAGACCTTGCACCTTTAATCCGCCATCCCTGGTCAAAGCCCAAATCCCTGCACCCCTTCTTGCACTCCTGCCCCAGGTCACAACCCTCTCTTAGACCTTGAACAATTCACTATTCCTAGTCACAGCCCAAATCCCTGCACCCCTGCCCCAGGTCACAATGCCCTTGCAGGCCCTGCACTCCTCTTCACCCCAATCTTTTGTCCCAGGTCACCATCCCCTACTAAATGCAAATTCCCTCCCAGTTCCCACATCTTAGTCCCTTACCCCAAGTTCCCTTCTGCACCCAACCTCCATCCCAGACCCCTACAGCCCCTCCACTAATAGAATAGAAGATTGAGGCCCTTAACCACTAACCAAATTCTTGGAACGGCCCCTTATCAAAAATTATTCACCGCCCCTATGTCAATGGCTTAAGGGAAGAAAAGAAAAATATTCTTTTAAACAGAATTTTTTGAAGGTTGCAGATATCTAAAACTTTGATCTTAATGATTTTTTAAAATCCCATGTTACTAATTAATACATGGTAAACTGTATTGCATTAAGGACAGATCTTTGCTATCTGGTCAGAAGCAGCAAGTACTAGGTGTGATGCTAACTGTTTTGTAGGATGAAACCTTATTAGCAAGATCTTTGAAACATGAATCTGTCTGCTAAAAAGAATGAGGATACATGTACTCCAAGATCTCAGAGGGGTAGCTGTGTTAGTAATTAAAAAAAACAAACGATGGTCCGGTAGCACCTTAGACTAACAAAATATATACATAGTATCATGAGTTTTCATGGACACAACCCACTGCTTCTACCAAGGGTAGTATTAATTTTCTTTTTATTTGATTTCACATTAAATAATCATAAGCATTGGTCCTTGTTAATTATCCCTTGTTTCAATATATTCTCTTCCACACCTATGGACTATTTAAAATATATATTTATAATCTAAGGTTTTTGTTTGTACTGGTGGGTACACATCCATACACTGCCTCAATCTTAGTGGGGCACATAAGAAATTTCAACCTGCTCACAGATGGAAAACCTTAGAGGCAACTGACCTGTATCATACTTCTCTTCATAGAAAACTGGCTGCTAAGATCATCTACTTTGCTTATTGTAATCATTCACCCACCTCTGATTCCCAACCAATGATTCATAAGATAAATTTCTATCTTCTTGGTCCTCCCTTTAAGGCCCTTCATAACTCTGCTCTTATCCATCTGTCAGCTCTTGTCTCATCATATTGGCCTCCTCTCCCTCTGCATGTTTGTCAGCTTCTCACATTACCTCTCCTGAACTAGTCTATAAATTGACTACCCTCTTAAAATTCACCTCTGCCAGAAAGCCTTCAAGTAATCAAGAATATGCTACAGAGGGTTTAGACCTCTATCCAACTATACGAGGGTGGAGCAGTATTAAAAAAATTCTTATTTCAAAGGACAATAATGAAACAGGCTGGGACAAAGACATGTAGACTGGTCTTTGAACTATAGTCTTTGAAAGATAGCCATTAATCA